GCTGGTCATGGCGGCAGCTGGCAGTGTCTCTCCCACTCAGCCTTCCACTTCCCAGAATTCTCCTCTCTCCTTGTCCCACCTACTTCCTGCCTGGCCACTGTTTTATTTATTGACCAATCAGAACAATTTGACATACAGACCATCCCACAGCACCATATAGTCATCATAGTGATTCTAGTTGATGTTCATCAGTGTTCTCCATTTAAAGATATGGAAATGGTTAGCCTCTGTGCAGTTTACTGTAAGTTTTTTGTAGTGGTCCCAGCATGTGTAAACACAGGGAAGGGTTTATTAATTTGCCCTTGACTGTCCGTGAGTAGGCTGCATGTTATTTTACGCTCACCAGAATTCATCTCAAGTGATAGCATTGCTCTCAGTTACAGGCAAGAAAACTAGAGGTGAAAAGAGGTTGGCTCAGTGTGAGAACTGTGAGACGAGTAGGTCATCGCCTGCACACTGGGGGCAGGCTGCCCGGATTTTCACCCAGCTTCACCTCTTAAAGTTTGGCAACTCGGAGAAAGTTTCTTCATTTCCTTATGTCTTAGTTTCATATCATATTAAACAAACAATACCACTCTCATAAAGTTGTTATGGAAATTAAATGGGACATAATAGTTTGGAAGTGCTGGGCATAGGTTATAGCTTCAAGATCATACATTATTATTCAGTAAATAGAGTAATTTGAATGGTAGGAAGCAATTGCTGTCTTCCGTTGATTTCTTAAATTAAGCAACATGAACAAGAGAAGAAAGAGTATTAATATAGAGTATTAATATAGCATTTTAAAAAGGGAGAGGTAATAGTTATGAGCCTGAAACTTCAAGGGCTACATCATAAAAGGTTAAAATGACTTAGTCTGGACTGAGAATTGTAGGCATAAAGGACACTTTCTGAAATGTCACAGAGGTGTCTTGTGGGGACCTTGGGAAGTGAGTGCGTACACTGTTTCTGGATTTGTGTTTGTGCAGTTTTACTTTAGGCCTTCACTAGGGGCTAAACAACAGAAACATCAGTCTGGTCTGTTTCATCAAATATTGAGCTTCCAATCTTTAAAACTCCAAGAGTTGCTACGCCTTGCGAAGAGCTTGCTCTTATTTTTATCATCTCAGCACTTTCTATAATGCTTTGTGAACCTATTCTGATTCTTGACTCTGACATTCTCCTCTAGTTCTTTATTTCTGTAGCTTGTACATCATCCTTAAAGACTGGCCAAGTCTAATTTCCTTGGTTACTAACCTCAGTAACAAGCCCATTAACAAGTGGTACATGACTGAGACAAATACCTCTGGTTCCTCAGTCACCGTTCTGGTGATTCAGAATGTATGTAAATGCTCAGCTGTTCTATTTTCCTATCGGTGACTCTTAGTTGGTACTGACATGAATCTGTTGATTAAAATTTTAATCTGTTGATTAAAAAATTAATGTGAAGAGATTCCAGGTGATAATCGAGATCTTTTTGTCTAATACTGTATCTGTCCTGGTTTAGACTGCTGTTGCTTATTTTGTAAGAATGGAGGGGGTTTGGGTTTGGGTTTGTTCCCATCTTTTGACAGTGGGTCTTACTTGGTAAAGTCCTACACTGTTCTTTCTGGGGAAGCACTTGGTGTAGTAGCAGAGTCTTTATTTAACCTTGGCGTTGTTAGCAGGCCGTGCTTTGCAGCAAAGTTTCCCATGAAGTAGCTAACAGCAGCAGCAGCTGCACAGACCAGAAATGGCCATTCCCTGTCTGCGTTTCAGTGAGAAGCCCTGAAATCTTTCCTTTTAGTCTTGATGATTTACCAGAAAGTGTAAATGTGAGAATGGTTTGTGTGATGCCCTGCTCACTAAGAAAGCTTTCCCTGAGCCAGGGGAACATAAAAAATATAATCAAATAATTCTTGAGGACTGTGAGTCAGTATTTAAATATCACAGGTTAGAAAGGGATCAGGGAAGATAAGAATTTGAGGCATTTAGGAGATTATTCTTTCTAATAATGCAATCCTTCAGCTCTTGTAAACACTAATTAGAGAGGCTGTTTATTGAGCTGTTGGTCCGCCGTGTCAGGAACTGCATGTACCTTCTCATCGCTCTTCACCCTATCTTTGCAGGATGGACTGCTTTAACCCGCCCTTTCACATTCTAGTTAAAGCAGGCTCCGGAGCTGAGGTGTTCGGTAAACGGCAGAGCTGAGATGTGCAGCTGACTCGGTCAGATACATGAGACACGTATTTTCACATGAGACTTGTTAGGCCTGATGAAATGCTGAGGGGAAGGGGGCCATAATGATTCTGTACAGCTGTGTTGCCTCTCACCACCCATGCTGCACACAGTGTTTCGGATCGTCTCTTTGATGGTTTTTATTCTAGTCTTTTAGTGCTGCTTGTTAAATATTTACCTTTTGTACCATCACTTCTTCCTCTTTCCCCCGTAGTTGCATTAAAATCCTCCCCTGCTGACAGGAATGGAGGCCAAGATCAGTGTCGAGCACAATTCAGACATGGGCTGGACTTGCCGGAAGGAGAGTTCTTATTACAGGTAATTCTAGTGATGCAGTCCCTTCCAGTGGTGATCACAAGGGCAGGTTCATTGGTCCTGATGCCTCTAAGTCGTTGAAGACTCACTGTCCACTTTCATGTGAATTGCACAGTGGTGTTCTCCAGTACCTGGCAGATGGGATTATGAGAAGTGGATTGATCAGGTCTGATCACCCTGGGACTATGGGGACTGGATTAATCAGGTCTAGTCATCCTCCCTGTTGCTTGATGGATCTGTGTGCCCTTTCAAGAATGTTGCTCATGTAGAGAATTAAAGCATGTGTTCAATATAAAAACATCGCTCCAAATCTGAATTTTAATTTTAGTATGTAATATTGTAACATATTTCACTTTAGCAGTGATGTGAACATGTTACAGATTTCTTCAACGACTATAGGCCCTCCTTTAGTGCTTTAGAATTTGGGAGTTTCTAGTAGGTTTGCTGTGGATACATTCTTAAAAACTTGAATTGTATCTTCTTAGAGGGTACTGCCCTTGGTTCTTACAGAGTGAGCAGATACTCAGTGCTTCTGTGGGAATAAAATGGAAGGCGTGAGTGTGCTGGAGCCAGTCCCCGATTGCGCTCAGCCCAGCCGGGGAACTGAGCCAGCCTGGTGGAGGTTCCGCTCACTTTGTTGCTGGAATAGGGCTGTGGCAGTTCTTTTCTGTTGCTGTCATGAGACACCATCACTAAAGTGACCTACAGAGGGAACAGCTTACTTGGGCTCCCAGAACCAGCGGGCTAGAGTCCGTCATGGTGGGAAAGAACAGCAGGAAGCAGCGGGCAGGACAGTGGGAACAGCAATGTGAACGCGACACAGAGAGAAGAGAACTAAGATAGGGTAGGACTATGATCTCAGAGCTCGTCCCCACTGACTGGCTGCCCCCAGCAAGGCCCCACCCCAACAGCTCCACCAGGCTGCCCAGGACTAAGGGGGGGCATCTCCCATCCTTGACACACTCCACTCCCTATCGGCACATGGAGCTCCAGGATGTCCAGGAAGTCCTCCCTTTTGAAACAATGATGTGTATTTTATGCCATTATATGTTGGAAATATGTAATTTGCTTTTTAATTTTATAGGGGTTACAACTAAGAGATTGCCTTGAGTCTCGGGAGAGACTTTGGACTGAATTCAAGTATAACATAGTGAGAGCTTTTTGAATTAGTTGAAGCGAGCCATATACTTTGGTTATTCAAGAGGAAGATAAACCTCTAATTCACACTGACCTTGAAAAAAACCTAAGCAAAATAAAAAAACAAAAAACAAAAAACAATGAGAACTTGCAAACTAAAAGGGAAAAACATGGAATAATCCTAACACTAGTACAGGTGCAAGGGAGAAGAGGGGTAGAGTGTAGCTAGAACTAACAGAAATAAGGAGCGTGTATAAGATAATGCATTTAAACATGAAAGCATTCACAATTAGATTAAATGTTAATAAATGTATGTGTTTTATAGCTGAGAGTTATATTGATTCTTTTCAATGCTACATTTTATATGCATTGTGCTTTCCAATAAGGGTTTTAATTTCTTTAAAATTCTTTGAAAGCATCTAAATTTCAGTCAGTGCCTGAGGCGTTTTGGCTGGAAGTCATTCTTCTACTTAGATTTCTCCACATAAGGCCCAATAAGCATTTTTTCCTGCTGTCCTCCCTAAAGAAGAAAGGCATGTGATTATAGTGAATGTTTCCTGTGCAGTTTATTTTATCAAAAATTAGACGCAGTGTATTTAAAAGAGGAAATCTGGAGTGTAAGGAAAATGGAAGACCTGATATCTTATTCATGTACCTGGTTGGACTTTAAATTTAGCTGTGATTTTCCCTCAGCCCAGTGGGAGGAATGGGTAGGTTTGCCCCAGTCCATATGCTGTGTGCCTGTGTTTGGGGAGTGTAAGAATCCTAGTCATTTTGAGGAGAAGGTGTTCATAGATAAAGAGAAAGAGCTTCTACCTGACATTGGGTATTTCTGAGTGACTGACCAGTCTACACTTCCTGTCCTGCAGGCACTGAATGGCTTTGTCCTGGTTGTCACCGCAGATGCCTTGGTCTTCTACGCTTCCTCGACTATCCAAGACTACCTGGGCTTTCAGCAAGTAAATACATTTCTCTTATATCATTTAAAATGATTGTTTTTAGAAAGCGAACTTTCTACTGTTTTATCTATTTTCCAATGTAAGATCAAAGTTGGTCATTTCTACACAGAAAGTCTTGACTAAAGTGCGTGCTATAAGAGTTGAAAATATATTTTAGGCTGTTGCATTTTTTTCAGTGTTGATAATGTATAGCACTGATGGTTTGTTTCATGGTGATTGTGTTTCTTTTGCATCCATCAATAATCATATATATGTGAAACTCTCAGGACCCTGCCGATGTATCTCTGTGCTGTAGAGAACCTGCTACGCTAGGTTCAACCATTAGCCTGGCAGGAGGGGCCGGGGGAAACTTTAAGGCAGGTCGGTTTCGAAGCAGACAGAACATTTGCCATTAGATGGTGTGGGCTACAGAGTAAAACTGTTACAAAATTATTGAGATGCTATGAGGAGGCACATGTAAAATGCTGTGGTGTATAATTTTAGTTCTGACGCATCTGGATTATGAGTATTGTCTTGAAAGAAAGGTATTGAGAGTGAGCGAAAGCATGTAGAGTGCACAGATGGTTGGTGAGGGAGCAAAAGGGAAGAAAGAAGTGTGTTAGCAGTAGACAAGAAGTCCTTGAAGGAGGTGAGTGCTTCCTATGCGTAGGCAGTCTTGAATGGATGGTGTGTATGGTGGCCAGCAAGAGAAAAGTAACAAGACAGCGTGTTAATAGAATTATGAAACGATGATGTATTTGAGGGACAGGAACATCTGATACGATCGGAGAACAGACCAGAAGTACACTTGAATGCTTGCTGTTCTTATGTATCTGGTTCTCACATTGTAATGTCATAAGCATCACCTGAAACATTCGATAAGATCTTTGGGCTCCGTTCCCAGATACTCCGTTTCAGTAGGTCATAGTGTGGCCCATGAGTGTGCATTTCTGCGAACCTCACAAGGCTGCTGGCCTACACACCCCAGACTGTTTAACACATGTGTAGACTCTAGTCCACTGACAGTTTTCATTAGAGAGAAAGTGGGTGCTTAGCTTTGTGTCAGATCACCCTGGCAACTATGTAATGGCTGCATAGAGATGACTGAATTGTAAACTTAGTTCCCAGGGAGACTTAAGGGAAGATGATTAAAGTCATGGAATGTGGCCACTGTCACGAGCCTAAGTCTTAGTTTCCTTTGTTTTAAACAATGTCCTGTCTGTAGAAAGCCTGTTTGAAACATAGTGAATCACTTAAGGTTTTAATGATGATACTGTGAGTTATATTAGTTTAAAAAAATCTCAAATAAAAGAAATTCAGGTGTGGTGACACCTTTAAATCCCAGTACTAGGAGGCAGAGGCATTCAGATCTCTGTCAATTTGAGGTCACCTGCTCCACATAGTGACTGCCAGGACAGCCTGGGCTGTATAATGAGACTCTGTCTCAACCACACACACACAAAAAATATAAATGAAAATAAACTAAGAAATGAGCTATGTTCCAACTTATTTTTTTCATATATATGCATACCTTGTATATTCTTTCTGATGTGGGATTAAGAGTCCAGTCTTAAAAACTACAAGTTGTGACATATTAGTGGGAAATAATTTAGGTAATACAGTGGATAAGAATTGAATTTCCTGTTTCAGAGCTTAGTATGCAATAAAGTAAAATGATAATGTTGGGTATTATTACAAATAAAGATGCTACCTGGAACTTTTCTGCATGTATATGTTTGTGTAGGATGGATGGAAAATGCATTAGATGCTGTGAGTTTCAGTGGGAAAGATAAAAGAAAGACTCTACCAAAGACCAAGCATTCAGCACTGAAGTCAAGGCTGAGAGACATCGGGGGTGAGGGGTGAGAAGGGCGGATGCCATAGAGGCTGTGTCCTTTGGTGCGGAGTCTATGGAGTCTGCTTGGAAAGAAAGTTACTGTAAAGAAAACACACAGGAAACTGCCAGGAGATACAAATGAAGTACTGTTAAGATTAGAGAAGACAGAGTGAAATGCTAACAGGGATTCATGGTGACACAGGATCTGGAGCAGTGGTTCTCAACCTTCCTAATGCTGCGGCCCTTTAATACAGTTCCTCATGTTGTGGTGACCCCAACCATAAAATTATCTCGTTGCTGCTTCATAACTGTAATTTTGCTGCTGTTATGAATTGTAATGTAGATATCTGATATGTGACCTCAAAGGTGTCACAACCCACAGGTTGAGAACCACTGGGCTATAATGTCATTAGCTGGCATGAAATGGACAAGGAATGTGAGCAGATCTTAAATTGGTACATTTGAAGAACAGATAATGCCTTGTGAACCAGAGTACTCATGTCAGCAAGTGATGGCAGATAATTTGTTGAATCAGTTACAGGGCTGCTCTGTAAGTTTTCCTGTTGTGAATGAATGACTTGGGGGCTCTGTAAACCGTCATTTGTATTCAGTTCATCATCACTAACAGGTGCCTTCTGATCTAGACATTTTGAAACTGATCACTAAAGCTCATCATGGTTTAATCACTACTTTATTTTCTCATGCTCCTTTTCTTTAGTCTGATGTTATACATCAGAGCGTCTATGAGCTTATCCATACAGAAGACCGAGCTGAATTCCAGCGCCAGCTTCACTGGCCTCTAAACCCCGCACAGTGCCCAGACTCTACACAAGGAGTGGATGGTAAGAACGTTTACCAAAAGGCCGTGTTGATGCTTTCTGAATGTCTGTGAAGGGAGGGTGAGAAGGTGTAGGGCCTGAAGCTCCATGCTGAAGAAGGGGAACAGGTCAGGCGGTGTGAGCCTGTAGCCATAGATCAGAGCCAGACTGCAAGAGCATCTGGAGCTAAGGAAAATTTAGCAGATGAGAGCCATGAGGAATGTCATACACCAGATGGTTGACACTGCCAGCAGTGTGTGTGTCTGTGCCCACTTGTGGGTACGTGTGTCAGCAGTGTGTGTGTCTGTGCCCACTTGTGGGTAC